CTCTCTCTCTCGCCGCAACCATTCTCCATGCACGCCCCCTCCCCTCGCTCCCCCCGATATCAGATCCCGGTTTGACATCATTGCACGTCAGTCTTCAGTAGAACATTCAGGCCCCACAAGCTTATGCAAGCGGATGGATAAATCTGTACAACGCGCCTATGTTTCATTTTCAGCATTAGTATTGCTAAGGTCACGACCGCCGCGTCGTTCAGGTTCCGACGATTCCACATTTGCCCCTTGGTCCCCCTTTTTATTTGGTGTAGCATTGTTGTCGCAGGAGCACGTTCTTGAGCAGCGCAAGAAGGCGTCCCAGCCCTTCAGTCTTGCCCTAACCTCAAAATGCCCGCTGCCCGGTAGTCGGAGAAGGCCCGTCCGTAAGTACGCCCCGCTGCCACCCCCGAGCTTTGGACGAGCCGTGCCGCGCGGTCGCTCACACCCAGGCCGTGCACTCCAGGGCCATGGACGGCGCGCGCTGGCACCAGGACGTGTGGGTCATCACGTCGAGCGTGCTGACGGGGTGCGTGGTGTTCGTGACGCTGGTGTACTGCATGTACTGCTGCCTGCGCGCCGCCGAGCCCGCGCAGGGCCGCTACCGGGACTGGGGCTCGAACCGCTCCGGCTCGTCGAACCGCTGGTGGTGGTGGTCGCCCCGTTACGGCGTCGTGAGCGTGGTCTACCCGGCCGCCGCGCCGCCCGCCCCCGTGCCCGTGCCCGGCGCGCCCCTGCAGCCCCTGCACGCCGTCACCGTGTACCCGGAGGCCGCGCCGCCCTACACGGCCTACGCCGCGCCGCCCCCAGCGGCGGCCCCCCAGCAGCAGCAGCAGCAGGGCGGCGCCAAGGAGGACGCCGACAAGAAGAAGTAGGGCAGGGATGTCAATAAACGGCTAACGCGAGGACACGGTTGTGCTGCCGCAGGGCAGGCCGGAAGTCGTGCTTCCCGGCGGGGAGTTCAAATTAGCCAAACTCCTCTCGGCTCCGCCCGGCCCCGCCCGTGCGCTTTGCGACAGAGAGGGAAGGGCGAGGGCAGAGATTTACGAGTCGCGGTGGTGCGACGGGCGCGACACCGCACCGCCTCGACACGACGCACCACCTCGCCGTCGTGGATGTGACGTGATGACGGACAAACCGGGGGGAGCGTGACCGTCGGGGTGGAGTGGAGTTTAAGTAACTTACGTCATGGGCAGCACACACATTACAACACATTGAAGTGGAGGACATCATATTCCCGTTGCCCCCTTATTGAGCTCAGGCAAAGTCATCCCATGTGACGTAGAATGTTGCGCCCGGTGATACGTTTACCGTGCCCTCCCAGCAAACACTGCCATTGGCTGACTCGCGCTCAAAGTGGCTCGGCCCCACGCCCGTCGCCCTGCAGGCGGGCCCCGCGACGCACAGGGCTGCGGGCCGCGCTGCCTACCCCGACACCGCAGGCGGAGAGTGGGCGGGCCAGTCGGAGTCCCCACCGCCACCACCCCCTCCACTCTTCCTCGCCGCAGCCCAGAGGGCGCACGTAGGTAGGTCTCTGCATTTGGTTGCATGGGCTGACTCCAGCCCGGAAGTGAAGTTGAAGACCAGAGATTTAAGGTTAATAATACTGCCACTACCGAGTGTGCTGAATTTCCGTCCAAGTTGCCAAATGGCCCCATCGTCCCTGTCGCGTTACCTTGTGCAGACTCACTGCGCCGTATGCTCATCCTTTTGCCGTCGCTCACGTATCTTTCTCTCTCTTTACCCCTCTCTTTACTCACCCCCTCTCTCATCCTGCTTTCCACGTCAAAGGCGCAGGAGGCAGACAGAGCGCACGGTGGGGGCTTGGTAAGGGGAGGGGGGGTGTAAAGGAGTTTTTCAGTGGAAACTTCGCTGGTGCAAGCGCGGTGGCGTCTTTGAAGTGGCCAGCCGTCGTACCGCCGACCACCCGTTGCGGTACAGCTATAACGTGGAACCACTTTCGGAAAGCCCTTGACCCGTTCACAAAAAAACGAAAACGGTGAAATTACGTTCGCGTCTCTTGTAAATCTGAAACGATCGTTCGGCGTAGTCGACTTGTTGTCAAGCAGAGCGTGGGCGATGCCTCAGAGCCGTAAGGCTTCCCGCCTTGCATTGTAGCTTATTTGCCGCGAGAGTTACTCTGCGCTGTCAACAGCGGGCGGAAGCTCGTGTGGAGGGGCCCCGAGGGGGGTAATCGCCCCCGAGGAGGTGCCCCCAGCGTGTCCGTCACTGGCCGCACTAGGCGCCCGCCGACGGACCGACGGTACGCCGGTTATTTTCGATGCTTTACTGTCGCAAAGCGCTGCTCCCGCGGGTGTGCCGCCGCCGCGCGGGTGACGAGGGACGCCGTCTGGCCCCGAGGCGGCACAAGCCACTGGGGCTGAGAGGTGCTCGGCGACGAGAGCTTCAGTCGGCCCGCAAAACACCCGCAAGTCATTCTGTGGCCTGCGGCGGCGCCTCGACCTCGTCGCACTCGTCGCGGGGAAGCCAAGCCCCCCGGAGGGGACAGCGTAGGCCGCCCGCTAGGCCCGGTCATCGAGGGGTCGTGATCTCTTTCTCAAGTTCGACATGCGGGAAAATGATGCCCGTTCTACCAAAAAAAATGCAAAAATTGTAAGAAAATTCTCGGATAGACTTTAAGGGTCCCGACAGGGCCGTTTAGACTCAGCTTAGGCAGCCCGCAATACACGGCCACTTTTCGTCAGTTTCCACGCTTAAAATCGCCGTTTGGAAGGTTTTTTCAGGGGTACAAAATGTTGGTCACCTCGGCGAGTCATGTGGAAAGCGTGCCGAGTTGCAACTTCGCCGCTCCCGGTCAACCTGGGCCTCGAAAAGGTCAGAATTTCTCATATTTTGACAAAATACCTCAAAAATGTATCAACTACGCATCTGGGAGC